GATAAATTAAAAGCTTTTAATTAAAACGAATATTTAAATAATGTAAGAAAATAACAATATATTTATTTGTTTATAATATATACTAACTTTCCTGTGAATTGAAAGTATTTAAGATTATTTAAGATCATATTTGGACGTCATTTAAATTAAAATATTATTTGATCATTTATATTATTCTAAATTATTTCAAACTCAAATTAGCAAGGGTAAAATATTTTATTTTAATTTCTGTTTGATTTCTCATTAAGAAAATATATTTTATAAAGTGATTAATTTTAATTAATTTGTATTATATAAATACTGAATATTTAAAGAGATCGTTTTTAATAGTTCATTTATAAGAAAAGCATTAATATTTCTCGTTTAAAAACTTGTTAAAACTACATATTATTCATTTGAAAAATTGAAATCAGTCAGTGCAATTAACGCCTAATAAACTGAGAGCTCGGGAATGTAGTCAAGGCTATATACTGAAGCCAATTGGTTGCTAAGCAAGATGCAGAGAGTGCATCAGCTTCAGCATTAAGTAACTTTAATGAGCTCGTGCACTTCTCGAATATGTGTCAATCGAGCTATTCCCAAGCCTAGCATATTTCCATATGCATATAGACGGATATTTGTTTGGATATATGTACATATATACTTATACATACAAATAAAGATATAGATGCAATTTGTGTTTACAAACTGTACTTGAAGAAGCTGCGAACAAGCCCTTTACGAAATGAAAGACTGTGAAAAGTGCCAAACTAATTGCATATTTATGCCCCCACAGCACACAATTTCTACATACTTCAAAAAAAGCGACAACTATATGAATGTATAGCCATCTATATCGGATATGAAGTGTATTCAAACGGAAATCGAGTCAAGTGTCTGCAATATTTGCATTCGAGCTGAACAACAAATGCGTTTGCATTTGAAGTTTTCGGTCATTCAAGAAGTGTTTATGTTTATTTATGGATATGTTTGTTTTCCACATTTCATTTTATCATGTGTCTATGGATAGAATCCGATCCAAGCGAAACAAAAACAGTTGCGGAGTGTACGTCAACAAGTGCGTTTCTCAAAACGGAATGAATATGAATAAATGAAATTTTAAGTTATTTTGAAACAATATAATTTATTGATGAAAATAGCAATGATGAAAAGATTTCTGAAACTCACTCAATATTTTAATGAAAAAGAAAAACACAAATATTTCAAAATATTTGAATGTAAATATTATGTTTATTATGAAACCATATAATTTATATCATTCAAAAAGATTTTTTTTTTCATATATTTGGAAGTTTCGAAATAATAAATAAATTAATTAAATTATATTATATTATAATTTAAAAATTTGCAAAAAATATTTATATATTATTCTATATGCCACGCTTCCAAAGAGGCGTACACATTATTTTTAAACTATCGATACAGTAGTTAGTATTTCAAGAGCGGAAGGATAACAAAAAACCAATATGCTTTTTACCTGTTAGAACCAAGTTAAAAAATAACAATTATTCAGTTTTTGAAAAAAAATTGTATTATTTTCTATATAAATTTACTCAGCAATTTCCTTCAAACAAAGTTGAAACCCAGCTCTAACAGTAAATATTCAGTAAAGCCGCCGTTTCACATTTTTAACACTTCTAGCAAAATTGATGTTCAAATCTCTTTAAGAGTTGTTTCCCAGATACAAAAGACTCTCAGTCAATATTTCAGCTACCTATCGACAATACCTAATGGCATAATTTTCAATTTTTATTATTTTACATTTACGTCTATGTGGACTATTGTCTTGTAAGATTGATTGATGCACTTGAGAATGAAACCCAAATGAGCGGAGAAGGAGGAGGAGGAGACGAAGGAGGTTGATATGTCATTGGGCCATAAGTGCATTTTGTAATTGTGACGTTGCGATGAAATGGTTATAGCCATCAAATATATTTCAATTTATTTGGATTTTCTTTTTATTTTCACTTTTTTCTCGGTTGCTTTTGAATGCGAGTTTGGCCCCTCCTTCATCCAGTTTTGATAGCTTTTAGCGGGGGCACGACGCGTGGCATTGTTTAAGATGTTGGTCGCACGCTATCAGCTCGGCTTTATGATAGGTTTATTAGTGAAACGGTAATTGGAGCCAGGAATGCTGAAAGCTGAATACCCTAGCCGATTAAAAGTTTCCTTGACATAGAGCTATGAGACTGATATGACACAAACGTAGGGGGAGCTAGACAAGTTATATCATGTAGATGTAGATATCATTATATGACAATCATATACGTAGATTTTTGGTATGATTATATGACAGCAGTCATTTAATAATGATAGATATATAAAGTTAAGATTTACTATTGAAGCTGGATGAATTAGAGTTAAAAAGGTCTATGGTAACTATATAAAGATATATACAAATATACAGTTTCGATATGATATAAAGATAAGATAGGCTCCACCAATTATAAGAGCTGGTACAAAAAAATGTATCACGTATTATTTCTATTAATTATTTCTATATTAGATATAGACTAAAATAAACAGAGGCAAACATAACTATGTTAGCTTCAGATTGTTATCCTTTATAAATATGTGGTTTTTAAGCTTATGTAATACTCATAAATGTATAAAAAATTATTCATTTGTTGTTACTTACTTAAAAAATGCAAAGAAATCTTTTGAATTTTCTCAAAAATTAATTTGATTTTATATTGTTTTTTATTTTGATTATATTTTTGAATATATTTTTGTTTTACTTAAGTATGCCTTGATCTTTAATGTTTAGGTTTAGATAGATCTGAAAACCGACTTTCTGTCTGATCTTCAACAAATTGCTTACCACTAAAACAGAGCTTAAAGATTTCTATATTTTGTTGTTACCCATAAATAATTTAGGTGCTTGAGAATGCATATGGTAAGGAGTGTAACAAGTCACTTGGTGGAAATTTCATAACTCACAAATGTTTCTGCATTTGCCACTGATCATTTGTATGGCACGCACATGTATAAATCATAATATATTATTGCAATGTTTTCACCAACGGGGAATTTCGGGCGCGATAACGGTTGAGTAAAAAACCGCCTCCCAAAAATATTTGTGCATACATATACTAACTATAACTAACAAGTTCGAACAGTTTCCCGATAGATTTTCGTTTCAATTAAAGCCGCCGTCAACATCGCGTGGTACGCAAATCCAAACTAAAATCGCTGGGAAATCGTTTTGGGAATTGAAGCGCGATGAAGACAGCCTCAGCGTGGCCTCAGTCGCAGCCGCAGTCGCGGCCGGCGCAGGCGACGCCAGCTACTGCCGGCCTGTGGCTGCGACAGAGAACTGTTAAAGCGGGGGCGTCGGGTGGGGGTGGGTGGGGTGAACGAGTTGAATTGCTGGCGGAGGCGCGCGCGCCCAAAAAGTCTGGATGATGCGTGCCTTACAACACTTCGAACGCGACACACTCAACGAGAGTGAGAGCAGAAGAGGGAGAGTGAGATAGAGTGGGCGGAGAGGAATAGCGATACTGCATGTGTGAGTGTGAATGTGATTGAGAGTGTGTTAGTGCGTATTAGAATATAAGGAGTCTAGAGGCTGTTTTACGCACTTTAAATCAGAGCACAACTCGCTTATAGCTATTACTAAAAAATACTCAAAATATACCAGCAGACTTACACACACACATACGTACATATACACACATTTACATACATATGTACATATGGTAATCAAATACACATTGTTTTTATCACAAGCGGAAATGTTGGCTCAGCATAATTGCTCGCAGCTCGTCTACAAAACAGGTGCATTCACACACACACACACACACACACACATATATATATATTCACATTCAGATTCCATACAGTTCACACTGAAATTACATGTATATACATACATACATACATATGTATATACAGTTATATATGTAAGTAGTCAAGATCAAATATTTGTTATGCTAATCGCTCTTGTTGGGTCTGTCACAATAGTTAAGGGTCTCCACATATGTAAGCCCCAAAGACCTTGCCTGAAATACTAGACTAAACAATACCAGAAAACAAATCGTAAACCACTACACAGAATTATTTATAGCTTCAAGTTATGTCATAAACATTAATTGAGCAAAATTTCAACGTATATACATATATTTCGCAAGAATGTTTCGGGGGTTACAGTTCAAAATACCATATTTTATGATTCACTTCTAAATTGATGAACATTAAAAACAAGAAACCCAAAGGAAACCTAAAATATTTATATAGAAGAACTTGACATATCAGCTTAAAGAAATCACAAATTTGAAATATAATAATATAATTAATATATATAACAACTAATTCACAAAATTGAAAATGGGAAAAAGTTTATTATTTATTTATTATTCCAATCTAAAAGAATTATGCCATAAAATGATATTATTTAGAATAATATATTGTGCATAAAATTAAAGTTGTTTTGTTGAGAATAATTCATGCAACGAAGAATCCAAAATTTGTAATTAGGAACAATCATAAATTTGATATGATAAACAAGCAAGTCATTAAAAATTAATATATTATATATTTTCTCATTGTGGGAAATGAAATTAAAAGTTGCCACCAAAAATTACCATTAAGATCAATTAAAATTTGTTGTTTTTGGAGCAATTGAATTGCGAGCTGCATTCCATTATTTATAAAATCGTTAAATTCCGGGCGAGTTCATAAATTTTTCTTAACGGCTTATTTTCGTTGCTCGAGCGCAGCCAAAAAATTAAAAAAGAATTGAGAAAGAAATCTTGTGGAACGTAACTCGATATTTTAACAGAAATTCGCCTAAGCGCGTAACGTAAATTGAATATTTTCATTAGATTTCAGCATTAATTTATAGGTTTTTTTTTTTTTTTGTTTAATTGATTTGATATATTCTTTATTGCGAGCAATTGAAAATGAACAGAAAAAAGATCTGAAATGAAATGAAGTGTGCTGCCGAGCCACTGGGACGCTCAGCCTCTGCATTGTGGGTCATTAATTGGGCTGCAAAGTCATAGATTTTAAATGGATAATCGTCTTTATTGACCCGCTTCTTTGACTTCTGCGTATTACATTAGAGGCAATTTCACGCTAGGGATAGTTGACGCACAAAGTATTGCCTATGTCGGATGACAGAGGCACAGAGATTGCGATTGATATTCTGTTTAGTGTTTACTCTGGCAACGACAGGATTCGACCTGAGGGTCTCGGACAGGACACAGTTTGTCAGGGACTAGCTCAACATTTCCCTTGATCTGCTCCTGCATACACTCGAAATTTCGCCTGCGCAGACCAATGGAGCTCCCGGTCGGACACTCACAGTTGCTGAAGTTGCTCGGGCGCCAAAAGGCCGGACAGAGTCCGCGATTGCAGTTGTAGATGTCGTCATTAAAGGTCGGCTTCTCAATGTCGGCGCAGCGACGTGGCGAATAATATCGGATTAAGGACTCCCGCATGAGCACACAGCGGAATATGGGCGTTTGGGTGCCCGGGCCACAGCTGCGATTACATTCGCCGAAACCCAACAACTTCCAAGTAAATCGCCGACGCTTTCGCTCTTTCATGCGTTGCGCATAACTGGCATCGGTGTCATTAACGAGCTTACCCGACTCATCCCAGATAGCCTGCAGCTCCTCCTCCTCGTTGACAGTAGAGGACGCTATGGGTATGGTATAATTGTATTGAATATCATTCAGTCCACTCTGCGCATCGAGCACGAAATGCTGTCAGACATGATCACATATTTAGTCCGAGATTCAATACAAGTTTTCAATTAAGATTTACCATCAGCATCACAGCCTTGGCGAGCGGACCCCTTGATGTAAGCAAAGCGTTCAGCTGATTGTATTCGTAGGCGTTATCATTAAAGCTGAATATCTTTAAGCGATCTCTCGGTATGAGAAAGACCTCCTCGGCGCTTTTCAAAGCTGCAAAATTGAAATTTAATCAAAATTCTAATTCGATTATATTTCTTTCTGCCTTATATTTCGACTTGCCTAATGAATTATTGCTTCGTATATTTTGCTTGATCGCTAGATTCATTGCTCCAACTGGCAGTTTAGTAATGAGATTGTAGCCCTTCGTTGGATTCGTTTTGTTGAAGAGGACAGAGACATGTTTGCACATTACCGAACCGCACTTCACCGGGCTATCACGCGTTGTAACGGGACGAATTAGGCCGCTGCTATGCACTGCCTGAAAGGAAGAACGAAATACAGGATAAGTCTTCGTACACGTTCAGGATATTTGCGAAAAGCTATACCAGGAAAGTAAAAAGTTGTAAATAATACAAGAGAATGAATACAGGGTATTGCATAGTCTCCCTTACTCATACATATACATTAAAGTTGGCGAATGGGAAATCCTTAGATTTTCTAATATTTCAAGAGATCTGATTGATATCAATCAAATTTCTGATCTTAAGTACTTAAATAAGATCCATCCAGATATTTCGTATCATGTCGACGAATGTGAGAACGTGTTGTTTTAATGAGGCTGCAAATATCGGTGGATGTGTTTGATCTTCTTTTAGATAAAGTCGAGTAGCCTATCTCCGCCGGCAAGCAGTGACTGGAGCCACATTGCACACCCATTGCCGGCATTGCTCTAATCTAGTGCACCTCCTAAGAGCCACTTGAATGTTTTGACACAGTTTCTCTTCTTCTTGCTCATTTTGTTTTAGTTATATTTCGAGAGAGTGGGCAGAGAACCATTAAAACAATGAAAAGGCTTTGTATCTGGGCTAATTACATGTGTATGTAAGTATTCGAAATTATCAGGCGATAATGGGGTCATGTCAACAGAAGGCCCATCGCAACATTATCTATGCATTTTTGTTTCTTTTACCAAGCCACGCTGCTGCTGCCTCTGCTGCTCTGATGCGTATAGAAAAAAAAAACTAATTAAATTATAAATTGGAAAGACCCGAAAGCCATATGAATATGGAAATCATTGGCAAACGATATTAATTAAGATTTATTACATTTGGCAGCTATTCAAGAACCTCACAGCTGCACTCGCAGTGTGTGTGTGTGTGTGGCCACCCATAAAGCAGTTTAACGGACTGTATTACAATGCAAGAGTACTTACATACATATAAGCCTACATACCTGCCTATATCTACCTTACATATTCATGTGCAACCGTATGTGCTAAGCACTTGAGCAATTTGCATGCTTTTGGAGAAAATTGGCTTTAGACAATTTAACCTGGCCATAAAGAGAAATCAAATGCATTCAACATTGAATTGTGGCTGCCCTTGCCGCATGCCCATCATTAAAAAGCCAAAATGAATGACTACAGAAATATTTCAATTATTTACAAAACATTGGCGAAGGCCTAGAGTATTGTTATTACTAACATTGGAGTTTTACTTCAGTTAGTCGAAGTGCCATGAAAGCTTGCCTTATACACAAAGCCATCTAGTGCATATTTTGAAGTTTCGCTTTTACAGATGACATCACTCGGCGGCCCATAAACTTTGTGGAATAACGAGTTGAAATGAAATTTTATCGAGTTGCCAATCCAACAGCAGATAGAACTCAATTTGCAATTGGTATAAATGTACGCAATAAAAATCCAGCCACAGGCCGGAAGAGGCAAAGTTATTATTTGCAGATGTTATAGAAAATGAGAGAGAAATCAAAGAATAAACTTATAGAATATTAAATACCCTATAAATAATTAGTTTACATATTTTACATTTTACTTTACATATCATAACTGATTAGATTATATATGTGGTAGTAAAACTAGTTCTAGAGTTACGTTACATATCATAACTGATTAGATTATATATGTAGTAGTAAAACTATTTCACTCACCCGACAAATTCCCTCCACACAGACAGCCTGTCGTCTATAGAAGTGCGTATAGTATACGGCCGGACGATTGCACGGCGTACCGTCGGTGACCGATTGATTCATACTGATGAACAAATCAGAGTTTATGGCGCGGCAGAACAACATGCACTCGTCATGCTCTTTCTCATATCCGACCCAATTATAGAAAGTCTCACGATAGGGCATGTTATTAAATTTTTCGCATTGTTCGTCACGCAATCGCTGCTTTCCTGGCTTACAGCGCTCCTCCTTGCACTGACGATATCGCTTCACTACTCCCGAGCAGCCCGTTTGGCCACTGCCGGGGTAGAAACGCCTCTCCACTGCGCTCTCCATGGTTGAGTTTTTAAAGCTGCGAATGCATTAGATATATTAGCTTTGAGCATAACAATCATAATCTTTGAACCACTTACCGCTCTAAGCATTTCCGCTGCTTGATTTGCACACAAGTGGTGGAGCATTTACTCCACTTCTCCCAGCGATCCCAGGAGTAAAACGTGCCAACTCTGTCGAATGAGCTCTGGTTGCGTTGTCGTGTCTGCTTGCTGACTTCATTCTCATCCACATAATCCGTATAATCATCATCAATATCGTCGCTGAGCTCAGATTTTATCATTATGTTCGTACTATTGTCATTGACCACTTGGGTGGCATCATTCAGACGAATCTCCAAGCATGATAGCAATAAAATACTTAAGACTCTAAAGAATTACAATTTTATGTTGAATACATATTCACTTTGACTTTATTATCTGACAGAATGACTTTTTAATCACGAAGTTCGTTTGTCGCAAGGTTAATTGCTGCCAGCGATTAAAATACAAAATGTAACTTGAAGTTTTCAACAGATTTTATTGGAAAGACAAATACTGTATGGTCATAAATTTAATGAATGAGCTTTATAGGAATTGTATTAGTAATAAAATTATTATAAATCATGCACGCATGTGCACACAAATAAATTTTATGAATGAGCTAATTCACATGCAATATTAATTGAACTCTGCTTATCTGTCGAACGTTCAGTCTAATTCATAAATAAGCCCACTGACCTTATCAACTGCATTCTCTTGTATTTGACTCTAAATTGTACTATAGAACGATCAAGTCAGATGAAGCGCATCAAACGCGTGTGCCATTACAAAAGCCTAAGGCACAACTAAGAACATTTCGAAGAAATTTTAAATACTGCGGTCAAAAAGCCAAAATATACACGAGGGTGGTATACAAAATCTATAACATAACAGAATATGTAAAGTTAATTTTATTTTTGCATTGGTTAATACAAAATAAAAATGAAACAAAAAATTTAATTCGTTTTTCATTTCTTTCTTTAGCTATCAAAATTTTAAGCTTACTCTCAAATATAAACAGATCTCAGCTGACGTACTGATCTACGCTATATATCTCTCAACCGCACTCGCTCTCTATAACATAGACTATATTAATATACAAACTCAACTATTTGGCGCGTGCTCTTATCTATACATACAAATATTTATATTATAAAAACTTGAATGGCTCAACGAAATAAAAATACTATCAGCTTTCGTCGACTTCAGCGCGCTTTAGCATGGGTTCCTTGATATTGTAATACTTGGCATATTTCTGTAAAAGAATTAATTATATATAATCATGTATTTAAAGATTGCTTTCACATATTCAACAGTGTTTTTGTACCTCGCAGAGTTCAAGATCTAAGCGACATATGGCCTGAAAAGGTTCACTTGCAATGGATTCTTTTGAATTGTTCAATTTGATTTGGGGCAATCCATCTGCTCCGTTCTCCATCCATATCAGATTCTCTTTGATCAAAAACGATATAATCAATGAATTTTGAACGGTGTCCATAAAGTTTTGGGGATTACAGATCAGTTTAAAATATGGTATTGGTTGGTTATTGCCGGCTCGGTAAATATTTTTAATCTGTTTCATCACATGATTCACAGCTGCCGAGCCTTCGCCCCTGCGTTCGAGCTTGTCGGCTTGCTTCGGACGTTTCTCTACGGCCTAAGGCATAAAATGATTAATATAGATTGATAGATTGTATTATAAACTTACATTTATTGTGGTTTTACGTGCTGCTCGCTGCTTGGGAACATGCTGTTTGAGCTCTACATTAATAAAAGGCAACATCGAGGCATTTGTGAAGCTGGGCACTCCATACCGGCAAGCAAGGCTGCACAGGGCATTCCAATCCTCTGCATTGTCTTTGAAAACAACATTGTTCTTCATACAGTAGGTATACAATTCAGGAAGTTCTCATCTCAAATTGTGTTGTGGAGCCCTGCATTCAACATTTGATATTGGTGCAGGGCTCTAAATTATACTTACAATGGCCGTACAATACATTCGATCTGTGATATTCGTATTATACTGTATTGCCTTTCCAACAACTTCGTGGTTTCGTCTTAAGAGTTCAGAGTCCAGCAAAATCTCTGTTGAGTTTGTTTTGCGCTCCTCATATCCTTTCACTACATCGTTCGCTTTACCTAATATATCAAAAATGGCCGACATGGACTCTCCGAAAGAACGGGACTCAATTTTTTGTTCTATAAAAAAGGGCGCCATTATTAAGGCAATGGTAAACTTGCCGCAAAACTTACCAATCTGTATATTTTTTTCAATTAAATCTTGAAGTTGGATTATACGCCCACTTTCCTCAACTTCTTCATCCTGTTGACTTGTTTGCATATTGTCAGTACAATCCATTATTTATTTAAATATGGTTTACTAATTTAAGAACAAATTGCTACACTAGATAGCGACGTTTATCGGCATCTAATAAGCGATAAGTGCTCGATTATTGTACTAAGCAGTAATATATATCGATAACTGTATGTTTTTGGGCTTAGAATTGAATTGATTGAGATTGTAAATTATTATAAAAGAGTTTATACTTCCAATATGTCGACTTTAGCGGATGCCCCCAAAAGTGAAATATTTAAACTAACGTATGTACTATCAAATGAGTCGCATTTAATTAGTTGATATACTATTTTATATTACTTTCTAAGCTTATTTCCCTGAGGGGGTGGACGATTGCCTTGTCCTGCATTTCCACCTCGCATACCTCCATTGCCAAGCCCTCCACCGCTAGGCCCACTGCGAACACCAAAGTTGTTTCGATTTCCACTCCGTGGTGCACGTTGGTTTTGATTCTGCGATGAGTTGCCGCCGCGATTTTTGTTCATTTCAGCACGATTTCTTGATTTGGCTTGTGCATCTTCTTTTACCATGTCGATCACTTCGTCTGGAATACGTAAATACTTTATTGTGCTACCACGTATGTAGCATTCTGGCATGCGCCAAAATCTGTCGCCATCCTAAAGTGATATACAATTTATTGAACATGTGAGAAGTTTACTCATTATATGCATTATATGCTCCTTACCTTTGAAGTACAAATTACATCACGCAGGTTAATATTCATCCAAGAATCGCAACTAACTAAATGACCATTGTAGGTTTCTCCATTTTTCAGCTCCACCAGCTGTTAAAATTATTTTTTAAGTGAGTATAAACAAATCCAATTAGTACAGGCCGAGTTAAATGCCGGTATACAACTTACCATAGGATGACTTTGAGCTGTTTTTAAAAGTGATAGCGGCAGCTTTAATTAAAAACATTCATTATAATTATAATATGTTATTAACAACGGAGAAAAATAATATTGCTTACCATTTTTACTTTATATTTTTACAAAAAAAAAAAAGTAATGAGTACTTTAGAGATGAAACTTTTGGGTTCCGGATATTAATCGTTAATGTTAAAGGGAATCAATATTGGTATGCTTCTTTTGAGCTAGATCACGAATCAATGCAACTCTGAAATGGCAACATAAATATTTCTTTATTGACTAAATTTGTTAATGTAACAAGTATACAATAATAACAGCTATAAAAAATATATAAACATGGCATCGAAAAGAAAACAAAATTTTGATTTATCTGATAGTGATATATTTAAAAAGAAACACACTTTAGACTCAGATGAAGAGGACTCCGACGACTACGAAAGGTTTGCAAAGATTTACTAAATTTAAAAGCAACAAGAAATATTTATTTTAATAATATTCTTAATTCAGAGACAATCTCAATGATAGTGATATAGAAGGTGGTGAGGAGGGTGTAGGTAAAGTAGAAGATGATGTCAAAATAACACCATTTAACATGCGTGAGGAACTGGAGGAGGGACATTTTGATAAGGAAGGCCACTATCACTGGAACAAAGAAGCTCAAATTAAGGATAACTGGTTGGATAACATCGACTGGGTTAAGGTATTAAGATCTCTATATAAATCACAATCAATAACTAATAAATTATTTCATAATTTATATAATAGGTAGAGAAAGATAAAAACTACTTTGATCCAAACAACGAAGAAAACTCGGCTGATAGCAGTTTACCTCCTAAACCATTTAACCAATCAATGGCGCTTACCAAAATGCTTGAGTTTATGAAGCCAGGGGAAACTGTGCAAATGGCTTTGCAGAGATTGGGTCGTAAGCGACCTAAATTATCCACCCTCGAAAAGCTGCGTCAAAAAAAAGCGGGAATTGTGAACACAGAAACGCAGCAAATTGCAAAGTTAACCGAATTGGCAAACGAAATATTGACTAATACAGGAAACATGGATATATATCAGGAGACATACGAAAAGATAAAGCAAAAACTAGAGGATTTGCCAAGTACAAGCAAGCCCGTGGGCGATTCTTTCGATATGTATGCCGATGATTTCGAAGAAAAGGAGTCCAAACTCTTAAAGGGCTCACAAAAAGAGGCAAAGGAACCAAGTACAAATGAACTAAAATGGGAGTTTAAATGGAAGCAGACTGATGAAGAAATTCAGGGCCCATACAGTACAGAGAAAATGTTTAATTGGTCTCAAGGAGACTATTTTAAGACTGGAGTATATGTACGCAAAGTTGGGGAGAATTCAAATTTTTACTCGAGTAATAGGATAGATTTCGATTTGTATTTGTAAACAGGAATCATTTGTTAATGCTTAACACTAAGTAACTTCTTTGTTCTTCTATTCGAAATAAAGAAACATTTAAGGTTTATCGAGATCTTTGAGCTTAAAACATTATTACAGAGATATTTTATTGCTTTAATGTAAAATATCAAATTTATATATTTAACATCTTTAAGTACATGTTTCCTTTAAATTAATGTTAATTTCGATATATTGCGGCTTGATTAATAGATGGTGGTAAATATAAAAATAAATAACAAAATTTACTTCAATGGTGAATTGCATAGGAAGTTACTTTCTTATCTCTACTAATTTTTTGTTTTGTTTTTTGTACGTTATGTTGAAAATCTTTAAGAAAAGCCTGTCAATAGATTGTGGTGGCATATCGATAACACTTTATCTGATAGTTCGGTTTTCAACATCTCTGTTACTAATAGCAACACATTGTTGTTTACAAATTTATTGACATAAGAAAATTAGAATACTTTTGTAGTTGTGTTCGTAATCCTCACAAATTCCGGCTTAGCAAAATTTATCGGCCAGCACCCACTGGTCACATAAAAAATTGCAAAAGCTCGAGTTACCATTCACGACGGTCCATAAATTGCGCGAAATGTTCAAAAACACGTTTCAATCCGGATTTCTGTCAATACTTTACAGCATTGGTTCCAAGCCGCTCCAGCTATGGGACAAGAAAGTTCGAAATGGCCACATCAAACGAATAACTGACAATGATATTCAGAGCCTAGTTCTTGAAATAGTTGGAACTAACGTTAGCACAACATTTATCACTTGCCCAGCTGACCCAAAGAAGACGCTGGGCATTAAGTTGCCTTTCCTGGTGATGATAATCAAGAACATGAAGAAATACTTCACCTTCGAAGTCCAGGTAAGTCATATATGCATACGTATACGTAAGGAAGCCTCATTGCAATTGCATATCTGAACAGGTTCTAGACGATAAAAATGTGCGACGTCGCTTTCGCGCCAGCAATTATCAATCGACCACACGGGTGAAGCCGTTTATATGTACAATGCCAATGCGTTTGGATGAGGGTTGGAATCAAATACAATTTAATTTGTCCGATTTTACACGTCGCGCCTATGGCACCAACTATGTTGAAACACTACGGGTTCAGATCCATGCAAATTGTCGAATACGTCGAGTATACTTTTCGGATCGACTCTACTCGGAAGATGAACTCCCTCCAGAATTCAAATTGTTTTTGCCCATACAAAAACCAGTTCAAAAGTCAAACGCCATATGCAGTTAACCAGCTTCGATGTAGATTGAATTCCAAAATATATGCACATATATACATATGTCGCCAGCTATAATGACAAACCAAAACAAATTTATAATAATCACTTGGCAACAACAAATTTTCTTGCAAGCCGGCATACGCGTTTATTAAAACACTTATCTATGTCAATTATGCGCTTACTACAAAAATTTTAAATAAAAATTCACTATTTATGTTAACACTTTGCATTTGCACCATTCTAGCTCTCTTTTTTTGTTAGTATCTCAGCGCCCATATCTGTGATCAGAATCGTATGCTCGAATTGTGCGCTCCGTGAATTGTCTAAGGTGATTGCTGTCCATCCGTCCTCCAAGATCCCGATTTCGCCACCGCCTAGAGACAGTATTGGTTCAATGGTAAAAGTCATGCCTGCTTGCATTTTACCCGGTACATCATTGTCTAAAATTGAAATGGAAAAGAATTAATCACTATAACAGATATGTAACAAAATAATACAGAAATTATCCATCTAGAACAATTTACATATTTCAACATAACAAATTTGACCCTTTAAGGGTCCTTTATACTCGAAGAATCATAAAGTCAGTGTGATAGACAGGGATAGTAGCCGTTCCTTGGTTTGAGTCCCTCTCACTTGCTCTCCCAAACGTACATATTTATGTACGAGGTACGAATGTATGTATATATGTATGCATGTATACAATAAAGCACATTGTTCGCTCTCCCTATCAACAAGCAACAGAAGTGAGAGTCGTGAAGCGAATGTGATAGACAGAGATAGTCGCCACTATTTAGCTTTATTGGTTGTGCCACTCTTAAAAGTACATTTATTTGTATGTAAAGCATGAGGAGCATATCTGTATTGACATCTCTTCTCTTATTTGGATATAAATAAAGCTCTTACCATAGTGATAAATTTCGGGTGGTCCATGGAAGTAACTGCCGATGCCATGGCCAATAAATGCGGATACCGATTCCAGCTGATGTTCCTCGCAATATCTTTGTATGTATTTGCCGATTTCTTTGAAGGGCACTCCCGGTCCACAGAGTTCGATGCACTTGTTTAGGCACTCACGCGTACAGTTCACCAAGAACCGGCCACGTTCATCAACATCGCCAATGAGAAACGTCTCGGAACAATCGCCATGGTATCCATTCTTGTATACAGTAACATCGATATTAATGATGTCGCCGTCAAGCAGGGGTCGGTCATCCGGTATGCCATGGCAGGCCACATTGTTAACGGAAGTGCATAAGGACTTTGGAAAGCCGGCGTATCGCAGAGGGGACGGATAGGCATTTAAAGAGAGTATTCGTTCGTGCGCATAACTATCTATTTCATCCGTAGTCACGCCAACTTTTGCCATTTTGCCACATTCCTGAAGAATTTGAGCGGCCAATTTGCCGCTTGCTCTCATGTGATTGATCTGCTCATCATTTTTTATTTCAGGACTTCCAATTGTGTTGCCTGGCGGCTGTGGTGTATAGTAATAGGGAGGCTTCTGAATGTGTTTGGGAACGCTACGCTCATTGGAAACTCTTCCAGCGGTCGTTATCATATCCCACTTGCCCTTATCTCTGTAATACAGAGAGATGCGTTTGTAGAATTGGCATATTTTCCATTTTTTATCAGTTAATTAATTTCATTATATAAGAATAATACGATGACTGGATGAGCAGCTAGATCCTCTGTGGTTCCATAAAAAATTTGTTTATCTTCGTTTTTTGACATTGTCCCTTGTAGGATATAATACAATATTAATTAGTTGAACATATTTTTAAGTGAACCACTCAAACTTTTAACTCAATAATTGGTTCAAATCTGTCGACCGTTTATTAATAATCTTTTACTGTAAGCATAAGAGAAAAATGTACTATTACAAACATTATGTCTTAAATAGATCATACCGATTGCCAAGTTGGAAGAAATTTCTCCGTACATGTTGACCATAAATATGCCAGCTACTTTTTGATGCTCGAAGCAGCATTTCTTTAATTATTATTATTTATTTAACAACAATTAAAATAAACAATAGTTCGAACAGCTGGGCACGCACAGCGATTTGCAGAAAATTAGCCGATAGTACTATCGAATTCGATATTCTTATCGATAGTAGTCAACAAATTTGTAAACAGATTGGCCAATTTATGTTATTAGAAATAAATTGATATATCATGAGTTGTAACTATGCTGAAGGTCTTTCAGCTTACGAAAATAAAGGAATCCTCGGTGCACCGGAAGTAAGCAACACATTTTAATTAAATGGTACATAGAAAAATTGTGACTGTATTTGATTTTAGAACTTCGACACTGAAGAAGTTGTGAACCAAAAATGCAAACAGTTGGCTAACTTAATTAAGGATTCGAAACATGTGGTGTTTCATACAGGTGCAGGTCTCAGCACCTCAGCTGGTATTCCCGATTTTAGGTAATATATTATGAATTTTAATGAATTACTAAGATAACTTAAAAAATAATAGGGGACCCAAAGGAGTCTGGACACTGGAAGAAAAAGGAGAGAAGCCTACTTTCAATATATCTTTTGACGAGGCTAAGCCAACAAAATCTCACATGGCGTTAAAAGCGTTAATTGAGCATGGATATGTACAATATATTGTGTCACAAAATATCGATGGCTTACATTTGAAGTCTGGACTAGATCGCAAGTACCTGGCGGAGCTGCACGGAAATATTTTCATTGAGCAATGTCAAAAATGTCGACGACAGTTTATAAGCCAGACGACGGTAGCAACTGTGGGGCAAAAGCTATTGGGACGTCCGTGCAGATCCGCTGAAGTAGGCCAAAGTCGTAGCTGCAGAGGAGGTATTATGCAGGATAACGTCTTGGATTGGGAACATGATCTACCAGAACGGGACTTAGATATGGCATTCATGCATTCCACGTACGTTTATTTTAAATTAGCATCGCAGAGTACGCAATTTAAAATTCATGTATTCTTTAATTAGTCTAGCTGATGTTAACATTACCCTTGGCACAACTCTGCAAATTGTCCCAAGTGGAAACTTACCTCTTAAAAATCTAAAACATGGTGGAAAGCTTGTCATTTGCAACCTGCAGCCCACAAAGCATGTAAGTCAACTTATACAAGATATATTTCATCTACTGACTTTTTTATTACAGGACAAGAAAGCATTTTTAAACATTTCAAGTTATATTGACAATATATTAGAAAAAGTTTGCAAACGTTTGGGCGTCGAGATTCCCGAGTACTCCGAGGATTGTGATCCAACAAAGAATGACAAAATTTCGGAATGGACGCTGCCGCAAGAATATGTGAAAGAGTTGGATAAACAATTCAAAGAGTATCAGAAAACATTTGCAAAAAGTAATAAAAACACACTGATAAATAAGAAACTTATCAAAAAGCGCAAACGGAGCGAATAAACAGCATTCAAATATGTAGTTACTAAGCTAAGTACAGTATAAATCAAATACATAATTAACCATACTGCCAATAACTTAAATTACTCATATCTAAAACTGTTTCAAAACAGGACGATTCTGCAAGGATTGCAGCTCGCTAAGCATCGTAGCCACATTAAATCGCAAACGTTGAAACATTGACAAAGGCAGCTCTAAAGTACGATGCTCGCCATTATTTAATTTAAAATGTAATACAATTGTGGGCTTATCCAGCTGGGCCATTCTACAATTAAAGAAAACATTAACTTTAATACATATATTTATTAGAAACAAATTGTTTGAGTTGAATTTGTATTCCAAATTATGTGCGCTTTCTCTGCGATTGTTTGCTAATCGATATTTAATCGACTAGTTTATTCACATAACGGCAACAAGTTCTCAAGTAAATAAATTCAGGAATAGAATGCACAATAAACCTGACATATTGCGACGACTTCACTTACGTTGAGCCCAAGGAAATATTTATCCGCCATTGCATGTCCAACATTTTTGGTCTTTCCATTTTGGTTTCAGCAAAATTTCTACTAAGCGTCGTACGGTGGTTAATCAGCACCTTAGTCAAATCGTCAGCGCAAGCATCTGTGAAGCTAAAAGCGCCTAAGCTGAATTATAAAGTTTTTATAATGGTTAGCTTACCACAAATCGTCAATTAAGCACTGCCGCAGTTCTTGCTCCTTGATCACACCTTTTGGATAGCGTAAATAGATTTGCATTATCAACAACACCATCGTAAACAGTTCACAAAAGTTCTTAGGCACTTCGTGGCCTGCATTTTTAAGTTTATTTATTGCAAGTTCCAAAACGTCAGGTGATGATTTTTTTGTTTCGATATAGTGTACCGAAACTTGTATTAAGACGCGTAATGTTGATTTACTTAATTGTGGAATATATATGGTGTATGGCTTGACGCTTTTCAAAACATGAAAGCGAAAGTTTAAGGACATTTTGTTAGTTGCAATTTTATAAATACAGATGTAGCCTCGTTTGTCGTTCCAATTGCACTAGCTCAATATAGCGATGCGCGACACCAAAGTTAGTGAACAAAATCATCGTATGCTTTGGTGATGACCGATAATTTCTAATAAGAATTCACGAGTTATATGCCTTAATTATGTGAAAACAAACAAATTAATTTAAGCTTTATAGATTTTTAATAATTAAAATTTTTTAATTTCTTGATTTACATCACTATTTGATATTTGGATGAGGGCAAATATTAAAACCTTTAAAACTACTTTATATCGCTATGCGGGTAGTTTTCAAAAAATTGTTGATATCGGTGAGCAGTAAATTCAAAAGAAAATTATTTTCATTCCGAGCCGTTAGCGTATGTGATTAGATACAAGATAATTATTGTTAGATAACGGCAACATTTTTACAATGCAGTATAAACGATGTTAGCATAGTACCGAAATTGACCAGAAACGCTGATAGGACTGGTGGATTTATTATTTTTAAATTAAATTATAATTAGTAAACATTTTGATTTTGGTTGTAGGAATATAGACGAGCTACAAGATAAGATACAATAGGAGCTTACATACATGCATATGTACACAATTGTACATACATTATTAAGCAAAATTACGGTTGTTGAATGATTTTTGATTGCAGATGGAAATCATAATGATAAGATTTTGTACATTACTTGTATACTTTAATAATTTGCATTGAGTTGGTATATGCATAAATTAATTGTGTCACACATTTGAATTTCTTATGTTCTCTCGTTCTAAATTAATGCAACACAAACAAAATGCTCCCGTTCGATATACAATATCATTTTAAAGTTATTTTTTCTTGTTTTTTGTTTTTGTTATGCGATAAAGAACTATTATTAACGCGGGCCGCTTCTTCCAAACTGTTCTTCCTTTCCTATCGACCTCCTCCTCATCCATTCATCTGAAGCGACGGCACCGCCACACACACGCACGCATGGAATTATTAGATGATACTGACGCTGCTTATGCTGGCAGTTGCAGCTTCTTGCCTTTGAGCACTTTGGTAATATACAGATAGAAGAAATCGCAGTAGAGAATAGTTTGGACGACGCCCGCAAAGATCGCAATCAGATCATAATGCGACTCCACCATGTAGCGATAGACCCAATTAAGCAGATATAGAGCACGGTACGAGCCGAGGGCAAACAGATAATGGCTGGTAATCGATTCAGCTTCTCCAGTCTTGCTCACCAGGAACAGCTGCGGCAATATAGCGACCGATTCCAAATAGATCGAGAATGTCCAGAGCACCTCCATCACGGTAAAATCATGATTTATTACCAATGAGAGTAGAGCGCATGGTATAAGCAAAAATTCAATGCGGAACGAATCATGATTGTGATCGTAGGTGGCTTTAAACTTCACATACATCAAGTAAACCGTGGCGCCCGATGTGGCTAGGAAGAGCACCTTCATCACCGAATTGTAGAGGCTGACGTATGTGGTGAAGAGGTCCAGATAACGTGTCAGATAGACGACGGCGAATAGTATTTGCGATTTTCCAGAAATACCGGCACATGATCTTGTTTTCCATATTTTAAGCAAAAGAATTATAATAGCAAATACATGCGACAAGTCTCCAGCAAATCGAAAAATATTCATTCTGAGTGATTCGTAAGTTCTTTTTTTCGATTTTAGTGTGAAATGTTTTTTCTCCTCGTGGTTGCTTGATCGTATCTGTTGCCCTCCTAAATTGAACAAAATGATATTAAATTACGTTATAATGCAATTGCAAATATAATAAATTACTTTACCAAACTGAATTATTTGTTTAATTTTCACTTGTTTTGCCAACGAGCTAAAACTTTTTGGTGTTGTGCCGCCTATATGTACGTAGAATGTCGGCACAAAAGAGAGAAACAAAGAGAGCCAAAGTGACGTGGCCACATACATATATGAGCGACTGAGACGTTTGAACACAACAAATTTGTTCTCAGAAGAACACAAAAACAGGGCTGCAGCAAATAGTCGAGTAAGGCTGATTTGATAAAAATGTGTACATTTCGCACTAAAACGATAACAATCGATGCGTCGATAAGCTGCTTGTTTGCGATTTGGACGCATTAGTTTAACAATTTATTTTCACATTATCCTGCATTTAAAAAAAAGCTGATAAAGTTAAACTTTCGCCAATTATCATTTAGAGTAACGGCCCTAAAATGGTAAGATACTAGAGAAAAGCGAAGAATTTTGCCGCTAATTTACATTTTATATATGTATATACTTATACGTTTATGCCGACTTTGCCGGCCATGCTTGTTTTTTTGTTTTTAATGGAAATGTTTCTTTTTTTTTTTTTTTTTTAGACTATTGGCAAGAATAATAAAATGATTCAGCACCTGAACTATCGGGTGCGGATTGTTCTGCAGGATTCAAGAACTTTTATTGGAACATTTAAGGCATTCGATAAGCATATGAATCTTATATTGGGCGATTGCGAAGAGTTCCGTAAAATCCGCTCAAAAAATTCCAAAGTTCCGGAGCGTGAGGAGAAACGTGTACTTGGATTTGTACTGCTGCGTGGCGAAAATATAGTTTCCCTTACAGTCGAGGGACCTCCACCACCCGAGGAAGGTCTTCCTCGTGTGCCCATTCCAGGCGCTGCTCCAGGTCCAGGCATTGGTCGTGTCGCTGGTCGTGGTGTACCTATGAACATTTCGTCCGTGCCGGCTGGCCTGCAAGGCCCCGTTAGGGGTGTAGGCGGTCCTGCCCAGCAGCATATGGCCCCCATGGGCCGTGGAGTACCTCGAGCTCCTATGATGGGTGCTCCACCACCGGGCATGATACCTGGGGGTATTCCTGCTATGCCGGGCAGCCTTGGGCGGGGTGCACCACCACCCATGCGAGGACCACCACCAATGATGCGCGGCGCACCACCACCGGGACGAGGTGGATATTAATTAAACAGCCCATTCGCTTATCTTCATAGTAAATAAAATAAAATTAAACTTCAGTCATCAATTGGCTTAAGAGTTCTAGATGGGTGGGTCAAGGAGGATATCAGTGAATAAATCATCGTATGTCTGAGCTAAATTAATTCCTTATCTGCTATGCAGTATTTCGAGAGAGAAGCTATATCTCATATGCCTAGGATATTACACATTCGAATATTACAGACATTGATTTGATTTCATTTATTGATATTCATGGAAATTTAGTTTTACATCATTTCGAACTTGATGAAAAAGAGCTTACATGTTGTAAATATATAGTTAATATGTATATATGTGAAACATTGCTTATACTTAAAGTGTTTTCCATCATCTTCAATACTTACAGATGTATTTGGTATTTTCGTTATTCTTTTGTTTTTTATTTAGTTTCATACAATACAATATTATAATTTTCTTTAGAAATTGAAGTTATGCTATCCTTGTAGATAGTATATAATATAGCAAATAAATATTATGCCCAAATGGTAGACAAATCCCACACCTTGATCAACCGATCCTGGCCAACTGTGAGTAGACGCTTCCGATCCTCATCCAGATCCATATGTACAATGGAATGCTTGGCGTCGTGAAAGGCTGCCAGAGAGGGTCGTTCCACTGTCTGCAGCTGCTTGAAGCAGGGATCACAGCAGCGCACATCGAATTCAAAGCCCATTATTGGAATATTAATACGGTTCGATGAACAGTTATCGCAAACAGCTTTGCCACAGTGACGACAATGATGCTGTCGTATGCCTAAAATTACATTCCAATTATATTGTAATTTAGTGATTAATCATTCCATGTGCAAGCTGTGTCACTTGCCCAATTGTTTCTGATCCATCATAGAGCGGAAATTCCAAAAGAATGGCCTCGAGCACAGCTGGCAATTATTGGACTCTACCCAGCCCGGCACCTCCTTGCGCATCGCATTCATTTCCCAAAACACGACCACCGAGTCCTCGCCACACGATATCAATTGCTGAGTGTGATTCGCGTACGCTAGCGCCGACACTTTGTTGCTGAACGGAAAAGAATATGCAATAATTAGGACAAGGGTTTCTTATGTGTATGATTAGGCTGTTAATGAGCCTACATTAACATATTTATAGTTTAGTATTACCTATGGCCCTGCAGTTCGTAGATTGTGCCGCGCTTACCGCCAACGTCCCAAACAATAACAGATTGATCGCAGGCGCCACTAAACAAAAGCTGAGGTCCTTCAACCCATCGTAAGCAGCGAATACCAGCTGTAAAAGGATATTTGATTAGTCTGTTAAATAATACATGTATAGCTGATGAATAAGGCATATATACACAAGATTTTCAGAGTTCCTAAGAACTATATATATATATATATAGGATGAAGTCCGAAAATCTGATCAAAACTAACCTTGAAGATAAAAGGATACAAAAATTTAAAAGAAAATAAATAAGGAAGAAAACAATTTTAAATAAAGAGCTTGACAACTTTTTAAGCTACCCTCGTATATATAATTGTGCATATATAAATATACAAATAAGACTCCATTTACCAGTATGTCCTTTGAATGTGGTGATAAGCTGCACGCCCTGCGCCTCGCAGCGCAGCATTGTGATCTGACCCGCATGATCTCCAATGAAGGCGTACTTGGCCAACGCATCGAACCTAGATTAAAATGAAAGAGTGATAAAACGCTCTCGCACATTCAGCAGAGATTACAGATTAACTCACTGGAGTGCTGTGCAGGGCGTCTCGAACGTGTATCCGCCCACCCGTTTCGCTGTTTCCGTGCAATGGTATGCGAACTGTTTATCTTTGCCAGCGGAGAGTATCCAGTTGTGGGTCTTCGAGAATACGACGGCTACGACGCGACCCTGATGCGACAAGTAGTCGCGCATGAACGATAAGCGATTGCAGTCCTCGGACAGTGTGTATTGGGTGACGGTGCCGTTGTCCTGACCAATGTAAAGTTGGCGCTGCTCCGGCACGTATTCGATGGCCGTGCAGCCCGATGGCATATATTGGCAAATGCTGGGCCAGTACTGTCCAGAGTCACGCTTAAGCCACACACGAACAGTTCTATTCAAATATAAATTTAAGGGAAATTATATTCTAAGGCGTTAAGGAATTTTCGTATAAGGGAAATTTTGTTTGTTTATTTACGCACTTGTCGTCAGATACGCTAATGACCCCATTTTCGCCCGGTATTAAAATAGCTGCATTTACATCGTCACCGCTGCCCTCTAATTTGCTAAGCAACTCCGGCTTTTTTGTCGACAAAAAGCGATCGTTGTTGCTGCGTTGCGCTGGTTTTATCTCGGCTGCCATTCTTCTACTAAGAGAGAGCGAGAGTTAGGATCTATAACAAATGCAGCTAGTGCGTGTGTGTCTGTGTATGGCCGTGTGAATTGGTTAAATTAACACCGAAAAGCCTTCAATATTATCTGCTATTATAATTTGCTTAAACGAATAAATGAATGAATCACAAATAAACTGATTTTATCCAAAAATTACGATCAGTGTGACCCTCACCAGCAAAATTGTTATTCTATAATCAATCAAAGTGGGTACACTTTTCCAATAAGAGCGACAAAACTATCGATTATTTGTCTATTTAAAAAAATATTTTTAGGCGTGTACATAAGACACATCAATAAAAACAAATATTGTTATGTTACAAACAAATATAAAAAAAATTGTTTTTAAATGAAATATGTCTGATTCCGCTTAAAGCTATCGATTATTTCGTCACTCGATTACTTAGTCGATGAAATGTCATTCAACGACTTTCAAATTATTTTTACCGTGAGTCGGGATCCTCTACTCCTTGCTCCAGTTTGGCCACCTTATAAGAATTCCACTTTGGAAATTAAGGTAATCTGAATTAAAATTCAAAACTCATGAGTCAACTAACATGACGGTTCCTCGGAGGTACTGCCGTTTTTGAATAAATAAAACAATAGGTCACTTTACCTATCCAAAAGCCTCACCCAATTTACGTTTCACAATTGGTAAATCGATAATCGTTTGCTTTAACGAAAAAACGAAAAAAAAAAAAAAAAAAAAAACACATTATAATCAAAAATGCCAATTGGGAGTATTATCAAAAAAGCATCCAACTTTATACTAGGCGAAGAGAGGTGTGATGAAAAAATCGATATTGCTTACGAAGACAACGAAATACTTTTCTGCAAAAACAATGTCTGCATTCATCCACCGACCGTGGCCCGCCAGGAATCGGATATACTGCACTACCCTGGCTACTTGACCTGCACTACCAAAACATTTATCGACCAGTACAACAGTGCCAAGAGGCCAACGCTGCTGCTCACCTGGATCCCGAACACTTCGCTCTGCAAGTGCAACTCGACCACCCACGAGGGGGAGTCTCTGAGCAATCTGCATCATGAAACGTTACCTACCAACGGACACTTCTCGCCCACTGCACAAGTGGCGGTGCCCGCGCCAAAGATTGCAGACGAACAGGCCGAGCAGGAGATAGGCGAGGAGAATGCGGCCGAGATGCAGGAGTTGAAGAATGAGCTGCAGCCGCTGCTCGGAGGACAAACGGCGTCTATTGGGGATCTGGCTGCCTTGCTCAAAAAGAATCCAATTACATCCGTAAACATAACCATCTCGAATCCACAAATTGAGAACAGCAACATCTCCCAGTCCTACAATTGCATCATTCCCACTTCCTCGCCGGATAACGAGGGCGGTCATCCGTCTGCAATCGGTCGGGCGAATCAGCCGGCACAACAAATAAATTCAGATGGCTCGGTGTCGGATGACAACAATCCAAATTGGATGACGCCCGAACTGCTGGCTTTCAAACATAATCTGGTATTCCCGGAGAGTGCTAACGCCACGCCCACTGTCCGTCGTAAGGCCGTGATTAGGGGTCGCAGATTTTCCGTAGATCTCAGTCAGATGCGTTCGTTGCGTTTGTTTT